CGTACCAAATGTCACCATGGAGATGTGACGTTCGTTGGCCTGTATTTCCCACCGCGCAGCAAGGATCCAAGAGGACAGATAACGTTACGCAGTACGATCGAAAAGGCACAGCCGTTTGCCATGGGCGTGCTGTCGTCTTTGTTGACTTAATTGGACAGGTTAGACTCCAATGTGGTACTGCAGTTGAAACATCCGGTGCAGTTGGCCCACGCGTTCGGAGCGAGGAACATCATGCGACGACCATGTTTTGTTACCGTCGTCGCTCCTGGGCATGGTGTTTCGGTTTTCGCAGACTATGGGGTCTTCGGAAAAGTTGCAAGTTATACCTGGTAGCCGCCCGAGGGACCACATTGCGCACGTCTTCGATGTGCCGCTTCGCGCATCGCATCGGCAAGAGTATCCATCGAGGCGGTGGGACTTTGTGGGGCTAGCTCGATGCCCCATTCGCGATATAGCGACTGTATAGCATGCTCAATCCCGTCGCCGAAGCTCGTCTGCAAAGTGTTATGATATGTCTTTGTTTGGCATATGGTCCGGGATGCCCCTTGTCTTGAAGCGGCCGGGTCGTGACTGGTTCAGCACGTGCAGACAGGGGGCCTGGAGATGTCCGAAGCCACCCCGAGGGCCCTCCCAAAGGCGCACCGAGTCCTGGCTAAGACAAGGGACGGAGGCTCTGAGGGGCCGGGAAGGCGTGCTCGCGAGATGATAAATGGCACCTTCGAAGCCGCGCTATGGCTTGCTCGCGCGAATAGGCGACGTCGGCTTCTGCGTAGGCAAATCCGCGAGCAGAGAGAGGCCCAACTGGTGGAGGAGTTGGAGGAGGCGCAGGCGAAAGGGCTGAGCTCGGAGGAATAGCGGACATGCAAGTTGATGGCGGGAGGTGGAGTGGGACCGAGACGGAGGAGGTTTGGCTCGATTGTTGTATATACACCTAGCATGGAGGAGTGGCTCGAGGACCTCGCCACGCCGTCGAGTCGCGGGGAGATGGCTGCTCGCCCGATTGAGGCGTCGGCCGGTGATCGCAGGAGCCAGTTCAGCATTTCAGAAGTTGGTCTTGCTGGGGAAGACCTGGCACGCGTCGCTGAGGGCTTTCGGACTGCTCGTCGTCGACGGGCCGCCGCTCCCCAGAGTGCTCCGAACAAGATATGGGCGATGCTGTTTTCGAATTTTCGAGGCGTCCTGAAGTTCGGGAGCGCGCGACGAGTTTCGGCGCTGAGCCTCCTGGCGGGCTTGGGGAGACGTTCGGGGACTGGACGTTGGGCGTCTCGGCGAAAAATGAGACAGGATGCGAGACTGGTGGCGCCCTGGAACAAGTCGTTCACTTGCCAGCTTCGAAAGAAACGAAATTGGGAAGCCGCGGACCACGGGGTCCCGCATCCTTCGTGGATCTGTTCGTTTAGCAAGATGTCGGCGAAGACGGCCCGCGGGAGGCCGCGCCCTATCTCTTGATCGCGGACATTTGCCGATGAGGTCTCGAACTGGGGCCGCCAGGACCACTGCCGCTATTGCGCGGCGGGCGCGCAGGATGAGGCTTGGCACCGCTGACGCAATAATGGCACGGGTAATGCGTTTGGCTCTGTTCAAAATTCGCAGGCCTGGAGGTTGACACCAACGCCAAGATCGGCGGTGTGCCTCCACCGAGGGAAGAAGATCCCGCTCTCGGTGATGGTGGTAATATTATGATTTCCAGGGTGGCCGAAATATTACCACCAACACCGAAATCTAGGATTATCTTCCCCCTGTGGAGGCAACCCCCTGCGTTGGTGTTGGTGCCAATTTCCAGGCCTCCAAAAAATGTTTCTCTCGACGAGACAGCTGGCCGCTTGAGCGTCGAGGCGGATGCCCGTGTACTCCGACAGCGCCGTGGGCGCGCGCGCTTCCAGGCGCCAGCTGATGGGAGCCCTCGGGTCTTCCAGAACTCCAGGGGGGGGGGAACGCGCGGGAGATGCCGGCGCGGCCGCGGCGTTTCGGGGGGCGCTCGCTACCCCGGGCCGCCCCCGGCCCCGGGATCACCGCGCAGCTCGCGCCAATGGTCTGCGCGGTCAAAGTCCGATCGCAGGCGCGGCCTGCGACCTCGCGCCGCGAGCGTTCGCGAACGTTGCGAACGGGGCGCGCTCTGCCAATGACTTCGATGATGCTGCGCGCGCGCGATCTTTTCAATCGGATCGCCATCTCAGGCCGCGCACCCAGCAGCGCGGGACCTATCAGAGCGAGGGGGGCAATCCATCGCCCCGCGCCCTGTCGGAGCGGGGGCGACGAGGTTCGGCAGGGCGCAGAGCCTCCTCTAACACGTTATGGCGCTGCTTGCGGTTCCCTTCCAGGGGGGCCCTTCCTGCCTCCAGCGGCCCGTGGGCTACTGAAGTGGAAGCGAGGCGCTCTGCTATGTCCATGGGATAGGCTTATATGAGGCGTTTTTGGACCTGGCGTTCGTTGTGGACATCGAAGGAGATGGCGCTTCGGAGCAGTATTATCGGCGCGGCCCTGTCGGGCGGCGCTGTTCTGGCCCTCTCGAGGTCGCAGGGCGGCCGCCGGGAGCTCGCGCGCCTAAAGTAGCTGGAGTCGCTGCTGCGAGGTGCTGCTCGGGGGGCCTCAGGCGTTGCGGAGGACGGACAGGAGACGGACGGACGGGAGACGGATCCCCACCCTAGTCGTCTCTTCCTTCCCTCTGGGGCAATACTGAGCTCGGGGAGCGAAAAGTCAGAATCGTGGCTTGCTACATGTTTCTGATGCCCCAGGGCTTAACTGCATCGGGCCGGTCTTGGGCGGACTTCAGGCTTGCCCTGAAGTTGCCTGATGGGCCGCGAAAGAGTTACTAGCGTAGCCAAGCGTTACGTACGCATTGCTTTCAATGTGCGGTTTCTCCCATATTCCGCCCGTCGGACTCTCGAGCCCGCGACCTGGCCCCAAACGCTACCAGGGCGCCATGCGAGATCCCGGCGCGGCTCCGAAGCGGCCCAGATTTTGCGGGGTTGAGAGTCGAGCCAGACGAAAGGGGCGGGATTGGGAAAGGGGGGGGTACGAAATTTGCTGCATGCAGCTGGTTTCGGCCCCACCGAGGAGTCCATCCCTCGATGCGCAGTCGCCTCCGGCGCCGGGAGGCGCCAGGAAAATCAGCGACGCGAGCTGCTTCTCAAAGCCCCCCTTTGCTATCCCCCCCCTTTCGCCCGACCCGAGAGAGGGCCGAGGCGTGGCCCCCCGGGCCCCCGAGAACATATTTCGTGACAGCAGGAGGGGGAGCCCGAGAAGGAGGAGGAGGGCAGGAACGAGGAGGAGGGCTAGAACAGGAGGAGGAATCTCGAGAAGGAGGAGGAGGAGGAGGAGGAGGAAGAGGAGGGGGAGGAGCAGGAGGATGAGAAGGACGAGGAGGACAGACACGCAGGACGCGTGGCCCCCCGGGACCCCAATGAGCTCCTCTGGAGGTCCCGGCGCATTCTCTCGGGCGCGGAGGCCGAAGACCCCGACGGGGCCTCCGGGGAGCCTGTTTTTTTTGTTGGATTCAGGCAAGTTTGCTTGCATGGCGTTCGCCCCCCCCCGCCCCCCCCTCGCCCCTCTTCAAGCGAATACTAGCGTGCAAGTGCCTTTCGACTTGCGTGATTTCCGCGCCCTCCCCCCCGGGCTTGCTTCAGGCTCAGCCCCCCCCCGTCCATGCAAGTAAACTTGCCAGAGTTTTTTATATATAACTATATATATATATATATATATATATATATATATATATATAAAGATAACAACAAAACAAAGGCTCGGGGCGCCCCCGACCGGCCTCCCGAGGGCACCCCGGAGGCCCGCGGGGCGCCCGCGGGAAGCTAAAACGACGCGAAGACTCGGGATCGGCGGGTTGGAAAAGCGTTCCGGAACGCTCTGAGAGCGCTCCGGAACGCTCTGGAGCGATTTATCCCGATGCTAGCCCTGTTTTACAAAAGGGTAGGAATATACCAAGATATTCCAGAATCCTCAAGTCGGGCATGTCCCTCTACAGGGGGAGAAATACTCAGTAGATAGCTGAACAGAAGAGCATGGTGACGATCTGTCGTGCTTGTCAGAAGTGTTTGGGTTGTTGCCTGCTTGCGCTTTAGATCTTGTCCGGAACCCGCCTGCAGGAGGACATGGCCGACCTAAGTTTGGCCCTCGTTGCCCTGCGCCGCGAAGCCGCCCCAGGCAGCCCCGCGGGGCTTTGGCCATGCAGTGGTTTCAAGATGGGCCTCCCTCTCTCTCTCTCTCTCTCTTGGTCATTTCTATGTGTATCCCCCCATGTCCGTCTTCGAACTCTTATTCGTTAGATTGAAATACATACGCGTATTTACATATGTACAAATGTGTATAACACGACCTTCTACATTAGTACCGTTTTCCGAGTTCTCCTCCTCCTCCTCCTCTTCCCTTTTCTCCTCCTCCTCCTCCTCCTCCTCCTCCTCCTCCTCTTCCTCCTCCTATTGCCCCGCCTTTTCCGATTCATACAATTTCTTCTCCCCTCTCGCTTCCTACTGTTTCCTCCTCTTACGGAGGAGGCGAAAGAGGCGAAGAGCCAAAAAGGCGAAGAGATGGAGGGTGACGGCGAAATGCTCGCCCACCTTTTTCTCCTCCCCTCCTTCTTTCTTCCGCCTCCTCGTCCTCCTTCTCCTCCTCCTCCTCCTCCTCCTCATCATCATCATCCTCATCATCATCATCATCCTTTTCCTCCTCCTCCTCCTCCTCCCCATCCCCTTCCCTCCATCCCCCTCCTCGCCCACCCCCTTTCCACTCTTCCCCTCGTCCTCCTCCCCTCCTTCCATCCTCCCTTTTGCGGAGGAGACGGGGAGGGAGGAGA